AAAACACATCATTCATAACAGAAACAGCTCGCAATAGCCACAGGAACGTTGCTGCAAGACAGGCATATGTAACGACGACTTAGCGCTCTTAAACGCGTGTGTCATTAAATACAGTCCTCCTGACAACAGGCCAGTGAAAAATCTAACAATCTACAGCAAAACCATCAATTATTATGGGCGTTATAACATACGTGTGCAGCTGGACGAAACATACACGTCGAACCCCCCCAGACGATTTAAATCCCTGACGAAACATACACGACGAACCACGGCAACGGGTTAAAGCAGGCAGTATATACATATATTTACCAGTGAAATTTTAAAGCTTAATTTCTTGTTTGGAGAGAAGTAGTTTCCTAATTTGAAGAAAATTTATTAAAAACACTTATAAAGGATTATTTTGGCATACATTACACATGGTTCACATATGTAGTTAATTTTTTCATATATCTGGGTTTAAGTCTAAGATATCGTAAGGCTGTGCTGTACTGCATGTGCATAGAATAATACAGAATACACTGACCTCTTTGGAATGTGTATAGAGCCATGGCAATGAAGAGTATCACCAAGTATGTTCGTCTGTTTCCTGGTCGCTTCCTCACTACAGCTTTCACTGACTGCACCACATGATCACAGTCAAAGAAGTCACTAAAGAAATTGCAAGGCATTGGCTGCTGGCTGTCAGTTGTTCTCCATTTGAGTCGCCACAAAGCATATAGAATTGCAGAAAGTAGCAAGGATGCATTGATGCCAAACATGATTGCATAAGAATATCCAGTAACAGAACTCCATAGGTATTTCCCTATAGATAAATCACAATAATTTAACAATATATGTATCATTTTATATTACCAAGCACATTCAGCATTTAAATGCTTCCTACTAAATCTCATTGGTGTTTCCATCTCTATCCATTCATATAACTGACTCTAGATGTGTCTGTGCCCACTTAACGAATATTTCTCCTACTATATCACACCAATGTTTCATACATTTCTATATATACAGGGTGTCCCAGGAGGAATGTGCCAAACTTCGGGAGGGCGTTCCTTATGTTAAAGTATGCCGATATAACCCAAAACACCTATGTCCAAAGTTGAACGGTTACGGAGATAATGGCCCAAGAAAAGTGTGGTCTTCTAGCGGGTCCACGGATTATACCTATCAGCTGAGAGGAATTATCTCTGTTTGTCCTTGACTGCCGTGATTCATCCTATCCGTGCTTATGGAGTTGGCTTTATCAGAACGCGCAGTCAGCACGTTACGTCATCGCTTACCATTCATGTGTCATGTACAGTGCTTGGAACTCTTAACGACAACTTTGAGATGGCATGCGAGTTTTTTGTACTTCAATTTTATGGCTTCATGTCACTCACAAGTTAGTTTGATGTTACGTACATTATTAACGTTACAGAATCCACATATTCCTGCCAGTTTTAATATCTATTTTGTAATCAACAAGTGTG